AGCGGAGATCGACAGAGAAGATCGATTGAAAGACGAGATCGAAGAATCGATTGGCGCGAGACAGAGACGAGGTCGATCGAGAGATGAGATCAAGAGTGAAGGATCAATTGGGGTGAGATCGAAGCCTACAACTAGAGAGAAGTCGGCGACCAGGTTCTTGCTCTCTCCTCTTTCCATTCTTCTGTACTTAGGGCTATTTCGTTGCTTCTATATTTAGGGCAAAACATAGCCGTATCCATTTGTAATGAGTCGTATCCCGGCCGTATCCCGCACCCGTACCCGTGTCGTGTCGTGTCGTGTCGACACGGGTACCTCTGAAATTTCAAAGAGTCCATGTAACATAGTCCATAACTATATATTATGTGGCACTAACTAAAAATAATAGTATATATATATAAGTATTTATTAATGGCAAGAATAGAGACAGGAATAGTATATATATATAGCATAATATTAAGTATAAATCCTACTTTGAATTGATTAAATACTAAGTCATTCCCCTTAAGTGACGCGTTGCGCTTGCCTCTGGGAGTTTCGAAAAGTGAGCAAGGGGCGCCACATCAACACCTGGGTGCAATGAAAAATGGGTAAAGGTTTCTGCGTTTTTCTAGACAAGTGTGAATAAAGAAGCTAGTCCAAGACTGTTTAGGATAGCCATATGGAATATAGGAACTTTAACTGGTAAGACTATGAAATTGGTAGTTGTCATGATTAGGAAGAGAGTTAGTATAGCTTGGGTACAAGAAACTAAGTGGACAACTGAGAAAGTTAGGAAAATAGAGGATACCGGTTTTAAACTATATTATAGTGGCAAGAATAAACACAGAAATGATAGGAATAATAGTTGTCAAGGGCCTTGTAGAAAATATAATTGCGATCATTAGGAAAGGTGATAGGATTATATTAGTTAAACTAATTATTGGAGAAAATATCGTGACGTTATTAGTGCATCCGCCCTCCAAGTAGGATTAGATGATCAGACTAAAAAGAGATTTTTTGGACCAAATGAATGAGGGATTACAAGAGATATCCGTAGGAGAAGACCTAATTATAGGTGGTAATTTCAGCAGTCATGTAGGAATAGATAAACTAGGATATGAGAGGGTACATGGTGGGTATGATTTTAGTGATAAAAATGCTAGACAAAGTATTTTAGATTTTGTGTTGGCTTTTGACCTGGTGGTAGCCAATACTATAAGAAGAGAGGAGCATTTGATAACCTTTAAGAGTGGGTCAATTAAGAGTCAAATAGATTACTTTCTAGTAAGAAAAGTGAACCATCTAAAATTTAGCGACTGTAAGGTAATTCCTAAAGAGAGTCTGACGTCTCAACATAGGATTTTGGTACTAAATTTATACCTTAAAGGTCAATACCAAGCCAGGAAGGATAGTGGGCATCGTACAACGAGATGGCGGGATCTAAAAGGGTATAAACTAGAAATATTTAACAATAGAATGGATAAAGAAGGTACTTGGGACATGGAAGATAATGCTAACACTATGTGAAACTCGATGACCAATTATATGAGGAGAATCTCAAGAGAAGTTCTTGGAGGGTCGAAATGAAAGGGATTCAACTCTAGGGAAACTTGGTGGTGGAGGGAGGAGGTTTAAGCAGTAGTAAAGATGAAAAAAAAAGTGCTTTAAAATTGGCAAAATAGTAGAACTGAGAAAAACCTTAAGAGTTACAGAGTGGCTAATAAGGAGGTTAAAAAAGTAGTGAGAGAGACTCAGTTGAAAGCCTCAAATGACCTATACACTAAACTAGATAGTAAGGAGGAAGAGAAGAGGATATACAAACTCACTAAGATAAGAGAGAGAAAAACAAGACTTTAATCAGGTTAAGTGCATCAAGAGTGAGGACTCTAAGATGTTGGTGAAGGATAAAGAGATTAATGACAGGTGAAAGAACTATTTTGAGAAATTGTTAAATGAGGAACATGGAGGTAGGTGAAAAGGGAGGAAGTAGACAGTAATAAGGAAAACCATGATTACAGATTCTATCGTACGATTAGGAACTTTGAAGTAGAGATTGTACTTAAGAAAATGAAATTGAATAAGGTCTTAGGACCTGATGATATTCCTATTGAAACTTGGAAATGTTTATGTAAGAAGGAGGTGGCTTGATTGACTAGGTTATTTAGCAAGATTTTGTTAACTAGGAAAATAGTGAAGGAAGAGTATCTTAGTGCCAATCTATAAGAATAAAGGAGATGTCCAGAACAACAACTACTATAGAGGAATTAAGCTAATGTGTCATATAATGAAAGTATGGAAGAGAGTGATAGAATGTCGATTGCGAGATATAACAGAGGTGTCAGAATATCAATTTTGGTTTATGCCTAGTAAGTCAATTTGAGGAGAGTAATAGAAAAGTATAGAGAAAAGAAAAGAGACATTCATATTGTTTTTATCGATCTTGAGAAAGCATGTAATAGAGTGCCTCGAGATATAATTTGGTGGATGTTAGAAAAGAAAGGGGTGATAGAAAGTTACATTGATGTGATTATGGATATGTATGAATGTGTGGTGACCACTATTAGATTGCCGGCTGGAGAAACAAGTGAATTTTTAATTACTGCAGAGTTACACCTAGGATCAACCTTAAATGCTTACCTTTCTGCTTTAGTTATAGATGAGTTGACGAGAAATATTCAGAGTGGTGTGCCATTTTGGATGCTTTTTGCAGATGATATCGTGTTAGTGGATGAGACTAGAGAAGGAGTTAATACTAAGTTGGAAACTTGGAGAGAAGCACTTAAATCTAAAGGATTTAGGATAAGCAGAACTAAAACAGAGTACATGGACTGTAATTTTAGTAACAGTAACAATGGAAGCAAAGAAGAAGTGAAGATTGAGGACCAAGCATTACCTAAGCGTGAACATTTTCATTATTTAGGATCGATTATCACAATGGCTGGGGAGATTAGAGCGGATGTGGTCTACAGAATTAAGGCGGGGTGACTTAAGTGAAGGAGTACGTTTGGGGTACTACGTGATAAACGAGTATCCTCTAGACTACAAGGGAAGTTCTATAGAATGACTATTAGAATAACGATATTGTATAGGACAGAATGTTAGGCAACTAGGAAACAACATGTAGATAAGATAAGTGTTGCTGAGATGAGGATGCTTAGGTGGATGTGTGGCAAGACTAAAAAAGACAGTTAGAAATGAGTATATTCGAAAATGGGTTAGAGTAATACTGATAAAAGATAAGTTGAGGGAGAATAGATTGAGATGGTTTGGTCATATACAACGGAGACCAACAGAGACAACAGTGAAGAGATGCAATACAGTGACGGTAAATGGAAGTGTTAGGGAAAGGAGCAGACCTAGATTGACGTGGGCTAGTGTAGTAAATAGATATATATAAATCTCCTTAATTTGACTAGCAATATAGCCTTAGATAGAGTCGAATACAGAACAATGATTCATATAGCCGACCTCATTTGATGGGACTTAAGACTTGGTTTGGTTTGGTTTGGTTTAGTTTATTAATATACTTGTATGGACACTGTATTTATACTCCTATATATAAATATAAGTGTATATAAGTATTTATTAGTATATACAAATATACATGTATATGGGGTCCTATTGGTGGTATTCTATGAAGCATGGGTATTCCAAAAGAAAAATGATTGAAAACCCTAATAACCCTCCCTCAGCTTAAGGGGGAGTGTTAGCATATTAGCCGAAAGTCACTTAGCATATTATATTAGCCGAAAGTCACTAGGGTCTGTAATCATTATGTCCTCAAGATCATCTTGTAATTGTCTTCCTTATAAACCCTAAATCTTCATTTATAAATAAGGGGTGATATCTCATGATACCCTAAGCTGGTTACTCAAGCTTCAGACCTCATTTGATGGGACTTAAGATTTGGTTTGGTTTGATTTGGTTTATTAATATACTTATATGGACACTGTATTTATACTCCTATATATAAATATAAGTGTATATAAGTATTTATTAGTATATACAAATATACATGTATATGGGGTCCTATTGGTGGTATTCTACGAAGCATGGGTATTCCAAAAGAAAAATGATTGAAAACCCTAATAACCCTCCCTCTATTTGAGATTCCTAATAAAACTTCTACAATTTCACTTACAATGACATAGAATGATAGATATCAACTTTTGATTTGTCATGTACTTAATTATGTGGGCCAATTTTTAGAAGCTGGTATGTCCGTGTCATGTTCGTGTCAGACACCGACACTCTTCTGACACTTCCCGAAATATGTTCGACACTAGTCAAGACTTGCCCTATTTTTTAAATTTATTTTTAGACCCAGACACTCTTCGGACACTTGAATGGTCCACGTGTCTATCACTTAAAACACACATGAAACTAATTATACATTTAAACAAAATAACTTAAGATACAGTGATAAAAAAATAAAATAAAAAATACAAATAAAAAAAAAACAATGTATATATAAAATTATATATTTTGTGTCTCCCACTTGTCATGTCCTATATTATTTTCAAATTGTCATGTTACGTTTCTATGTCCGTACTTCTTAGATTATGTCATTTTCTAGTATAAATTATAAAAACATTTTTTTTATGGACATACCGAACTACACCTGTACCGTACTTTTTTTTTTGGTTTTGTCATATAGGCATACTAATAACATATGAGTACCCGCGCCGCACCCGTGCTTCTTTGGTGGTCATTTATGGAGGAGAGGCAAGGAAGGAGGTGAGGGGAGAGAAGATGGGGTTGTTTGGTTATAGCATATATTGAGGTTGCTTGTTTGTTTGTAAATATATATTAAACTGGGATGTTTAGATGTTAGGAAATATGGGTAATTTTGGTATTTATTTATTAAAATACACTGACTCAAGCAATTTTCGTTACCAACCCTAACAGCTAGATAACGAAAGGGCGGACAATGTAATTTCATAAACCAGAAGGAAGGTCCCTGTAATCGCTGGATACCTCAAGGGAGGTCCATGTAATTAACCCATAATTATATTCCAAACCTTGGATACATGAAGCTAGTTCGATCTACACCATCAAGGTACTCCTGCAGCATCTGTGGATGATATTCCAGAATCTGTTTGGTTCAAATGAAAATAGACCATAAGCTATGGCTGACAAAAAGGATAACACCACAAAAGCAAGGAGGATCATTCATTATTTTCATACCTCTCTATATATTAGCTCTCTTACATCGTCTTTTGTCAGCTTCCTCCTTTCAAACTCAAATTCAAGTTTTGAAATAGGTTGTGCAGATGGTTCATCTTCCACATTTGCCAAACTACTGAAGTATGGATCCGCCAAGGCCTGTAAAGAGAAGAAAACCAGTCATAGAAATATTTAAAGGGCAATAACAGATCAGTGCTTGTCAGAAAAAAATAATTACAAAAAAGAGATAAAGATTATAAATATTAATAATTAAAATCATAAACTTTTTCATTAATGTGTAATAATTTTTTAAACATTACCATTGAATGGTAATTTCCCCATTTTTAAAATTAAAGCTCAAGAGATTTCACCAAAATCAAAAAGATTGTGGTGCTGTATAATAGGTTTTACTGAATCTTACCTCTTCAGCAGATGAACGATCTCTGGGATCAAATGCAAGCAAACGCTCAAGTAAACTAAGAGCCAATGGATCTGCATTAGGGAATTTCTGTGAGAAAGGAACTGGTGGCTTCTTCCTCATGCTATTCAAATATCTTCTAGCCTTTTCATTCCGAATCTGTATATTTGTAAAGAACCAAATTATGAGAAACTAAGAGCACAGAAAAGCTAGAGAATGTGCAGAATGCCGAAATTTGGTGCTTAAACATTATGAAAAGTCAAATTTTAGTGTCAAGACAAATGATGGAAAGAGAGAACAAACCCTTGCAATGGATTCACTAGAGGGAGTGCCAAGCAGATCAGTTATGATATCCAATTGGTGCACCACATTCTTTCCAGGAAACAATGGTTTCCCTGTAAGCATTTCTGCAAATATACATCCTATGCTCCAAATATCAACAGCTGGGGTGTACTAGAAACATGTGAAGTTGCAAAAAATCCATTAGTAGAATATTTAAGGATTATGATCCATGAATTTAATATTTAACCTTAAGAATTTAAATTATAAACTACCGGCAGCACAAAAACTAGATGCAGCTTGGATAATGTTGAGACACAAAAGCAAGGATATTATTATATCAATCTATACGCACAGCCAAAGCTATAATAAGGCACAAACCAAGGACAAGATAATCACTGAAATGATTTTCCCTGATCACATTGATACGTAAGAATCACCATTTAATGCAGCTTTAAAATTGTAATTGACTTCAATAAATTTTGTTCAATAAATTTATCATAGGAGAAATAGATAAAAGTATTATTCAATATAAAATAAATTTATCATAGGAGAAATACATATCAGTTAATATTCAATATAATTAAGTAAAAAAGTAATGAAATCTTGTACAACTAGAAGATTTGACATTCAAAACATGTATAGATAAGATTTTTACTTAAGTTCTATGTAACTATCGTATCGACATACCCGTATCGTATAAGTACCAGTACTCGTACCTGTACCCGTGCTTCATAATTTATTTTTGTTTCCCCATTTAGTAAATTTCTTCTATATGAACCTTTTTTATTTATTTATTTATTTAGATAGGGATAAATATGAACTTTATTGATATGTTTTTAGACACTTTCTATTATTTTTGGTTATTTATTTTTGTTTCCCCATTTAGTAAACTTCTTCTATATGAACCTTTCTTTTTAATTTTTTAGATAGGGATAAATACGAACTTTATTGATATGTTTTTAGACAATTTCTATTATTTTTGGTTACTTATTTTCTATGAAGTATGAGTATTTCCAAAAACATGATGTATTTGTATCGGGTACTTATCGGTGTATGATATCTCGTATTATATTTTTACATACATATTGGGTACACAAAACACGTACCCAAATTTTTTCTTCTTAATTTTTGGTGTATTAGGATATACCTAATATATACCCAAGCCATACCATACCTCAGTTGAAACAATATATTCTTCTACTACAGAGGTAAAATTCTTTTCACTAGACTTCTTTTTATTTTTAGTTTTGTGCTTAGCATGATTTTAAAATTAAGCTATAGTTTGCAAGTTATGTAATATATAGACATTTAATTTTGATTTATACTTTTAACTTTGGCATTAAATGTTTATTGTAAGTTGGATCTTAACAAATTAAACCACGTAATCAATTTTTGCATTACTATAAATTAGAAATAAATATTTTTTTACAAACGTACCAAGCCGTACCCGCACCCGCACCCGTATCCTTATCCTACTTTTTTTGGATTTTACTGTATCGACGTACATATATTGTATCGTACCCGTACTCGTGCTTCATAGCTTCAAACCCATTCCAGACGAAGATTTCAGAAACTTCAACTTTACATTCAGGAATTTACCTCTTCCACATTTTTCTATTCATTTCTTGCCAAAGACCTCTCTCTCTCTCTCAAGGCGCACACACACACACACAAAAGATGAATTCCAGCCCTAAGCCATCCAATGGGAAACAAATCAAATAATGGTCGAGAAATGCATAAATGGAGAAAAAGAAATCCGATGCACCCCACTCCATCCTAAGATGAATAAACAAATAGCCCGTCATGTCCACAATCATCAATTCCCAAGACAACTTCACCATTAAAGTGTTTGGAAAGAAAACATGACGCAATCAAATACTGGTCACGAAAACTTCAGATTAACAAAACATTATAATGCTTCTCATACACCAGTGATACAATAATATTCATCAGCCACACTTTCAGAGAGAATATTCCAATTGCCCATATAAAAATAAAACCTCTAATTTTAGATTCAGCTCCTCTCTGCAACATAAGAGCTATCAAGAATTGTGGTACTAATTAATCATTGCTTGAAATCATTTCTCACAACAAATAGGGCGTAGAACTACGTTGGACTAATACAACCAAGACGACTAAGAGCTAATCATGAGCCAGATACCAAATATCTGCATTCAATACCCGTGGTAAGGTGATCACTGATTGATCAGAAGTCCAAGAAAGTATGTTTTACATGGAAGGCTTGAGATGAACCAACACTTGGGCAACTGTCTCAAGACAGCACTGCGGAGCAGCTATGGTAAGAAATTTGAAGTCAAAATAATGTCAGGAACATTCCACAGTAAAGTTCAAGAATCATCGAACTAGGGGGCAAAGAACACTAAACTTTGGGGTGGTTGAAATTGTATCGCTATTGTTTGATAATTTATAATAATTTTGAGAGCTATTGAACAGAACTCAGGAATGCTTCACAATATTCATTCAGCAATTCAAAATACTTCCATAATGGCATCTATTGCATGAAATGCATTTATATATTTTACATCACATCAACAACAGTTGTTAATTCTTCCCAAATCAGTTTTAGAAAGCTAATATGATTCTATCCACAACCAAAAGATGTACCAAGTTCAGAACATGCTCTAATTGTATCGGTTGCTCTGAGTGTGGCTCAGACAACCAGCCACTGGACCAGAGAATAAACTGAGGCAAAAACAAAATAGGTTCTGTTCAACTCTGCTGGAATAGTTTTAACAAAAACAAGCACACCTGCACGACACAGGGTTCGAACAAACCTTTATGCAATGGCTCAGATTATTGAAGCCAGATTGTGTAACCTAATAAAAACAAAAGTAACTATGTTACTTGTGTTGAGAATATATCATAAATAATAAAGTGGGTGGTCAACAATCTAATATGGTGTCCCAGTTGGGTGCTAGGTGGTCTCTAGTGGGTCAAGTCTTCACCCAAAGTCTAATCTCTCGCCTCTCATCTCTCTGTGGCCTCCACATGCTATCTGGCCTGCATATGTGGGGAGTGTTCAACAGTGGCCCTTGGCACTCAACAGATTAATGGGTTGCCCAACCACTGCAACATAGAGCAGTGCAGATTGCATTCAAAGGAGGAATGATATGTCAAAATCAAGCATGTGGTTGCCTTAATTGGTTGACTACGTGAGAAAATCGAAGACACCTAACAATAGAGACATACATTAACAGAGAGGGGAATGGAAAAAAGAAAAAGGAAAGTTGTTAATATGTAGAGTAAAGAATGTCAGTAGACTATAAAACAAACATACAAACACTGAATTAAGAACGCATATAACCAAGTGTAATATCAAGACTTAACTCGTAAAATATATCACAAAGAAGACTAAGAATAAAGGTCAATGTCAGGTGACAGAAACACAGGCAGGCCTGAATGTACATGAGACATACTTACTTTGGAGAAAAAGGAACCACAAAGTTCAGGAGCACGATACCATCGAGTTGCCACATAATCCTTGAAGTCAGATAAAACCAGAAAAATTACTAAGTTGTTAAATATGTAAACTTAATAAAGTTGTGCAACTCAACAACATATTGAGGCAAAAAACTGATGTAATTCAAATTTCAAAGACTAAAACTGTTACAATAGCATCAACCCTCATAATTTTTTAGCACAAGAAAGAGACATACGGTCCAAAATATAGTTGATGGAGCATCGCTAAACGAAACACGAGCAAGCCCAAAATCACAAATCTTCAATTTGCAGTCTGCATTTGCCAAGATATTTTTTGGCTTTAAATCTCGATGGAAAACATTTGCTGCAAGAATCAGAAAAGAGTAATATATTTCATCAAGTTTATAAATGCCCACGGATGTGATATAAAATCACAATAGAGAAAAAGTTAACCTGTATGTATATACTTCAGAGCCCGAAGAAGCTGGTGTAAGAAGAACTGAAAATGTTCAGGTGTAAGATCATCATTTGCTTTGATTACCTCATCAAGGTCAGATTCCATCAACTCAAAAACAACATATATATCTTTAAATTCTCTCCGGGATGGAGGAAGCATTATATGCTTTATTTCTACAATATCTGGATGTCGAAGCAGTCGCAGGAGCTTGATTTCTCTAAGAATGCGAATGGCATCAGAAACGTGTTCAAAAACATTGTTCATTTTTTTTATAGCTACCCTTTCTCCAGTATGAGTATCAACTGCAGCTGCAACAACGCCATAACTCCCCTTCCCAACAAACTCTTGGATTTCGTACTGGCTTGCCTCACCATATTCAGTGAAGAATTCTTTGTCAAGCATACTCTGAGTTGGACCAAATTATTATCAGTAACATTAAACACACACACACACACACACACACACACAGAGAAGCTACAAGCATTAGAAATTGTGTAAAATTGCATAGATGAACTATTTATTCCATTAAGTTTTGTCTTCGCAAGGAAATGGCCACCCCTAGGGATTCCATCTCCAATTTTCGGACTTCTAGTTATATCAAGGGTGACAGTGGATAAGAAACAAAAAATTAATATACACCCTAAATTGCACTGAAAATCTTTTCTTTTCTTTTTTTCATGGTCAAAAGCTTCTCAGTGAACCAGGCAGTAATATTGATGCTATAGGCCTAATAATATCAACGAAAATTATAAAATAATAATAATGAAAACAATAGTTATATGACAATGCAGAAGCCAGTTACATTTGTAAGAGAAGATGGTTACTTCATTAAATGTTTTAAGTGAAATTATTTAACTTCAGTTTACTGATTATGGTGAAAAAAACCACATAGTAGGGTTTCTTCTTATGATTTTACACTTGATTAGGAATACACAAAATGAAAATAGTTAATCCATTTCTTAGAATGACTTGAGAATGTAGTATTGAAGACAAGACAATTGCATACCCCGCTAGCCCAAATATCCATCACTCAACTGATTTTCCTAGAAATGTGCAAACCAAAACCAACCTGAAATGTACAATGTCTTTGCATAACCATTAAATTCTCCAAACATTTTTTCTTCTTCCCAACACAATCAAGAGGTTTTCAGCTTGCTGATGTAGCAAAAATTGACACATACCATGTAATGTGATATTAACAGGATATGACTCTTAAAATCCTGATGTAGATCTCACTCAGACATCAAAGAAGACTCAAACATGAATATATCTGCAAAATTGTCCCAATAGATTCACTCTAAAGGTCCCATCCTAAGCAGTTGAGCTCCCATGGCTAGAATGACATAAATCAATTTTTCCATTCATCTCACTGAAGTTACCCAGGATGAGGCTGGTCCAAACTTAAAAATTAAGAATAACACTTTCATATAACATGGGTACTGGAAAGAAGAATCATGGGAATGGTTTTTAAATGAAGATGATTGGGCTTCACAAGTAAGGTTTCTTCAAGCAAACTTCTTGCAGAAGAGGAACGAACACGAAGGTAGAAATAGTCAACCTGGCAAAACGTAATGCACAAAATTGAGCTCAAATTGCTAAAATGCCATTATTTTGCTAAAACAATCCCTTGAGTGGTGAAAATATATTGTCCTGCAAATCCATGTAGTGCCCCAACTAGTGTTGTATTGGTTGAAACAATGGGGTCCACTGCTTTTGTATTGGCTTTCAGGAAACGAAGGAACAAGTGGCAATAATTATGAGTGGTGTGAAGCATTGCTCCAAGACCACCAAATAACCTCTCCTTAAGTGGAGTTATTTAAAAAGTGCAGGGGTCAAGAGTCACTTCCATTTTTAAATTAACAATAATATAAAGAACCTCTTTAATCATAGTCATCAGTATTCAGGAGAAGATGGCAATAGTGGTGATGTTTACATGCAAAATCTAGAAGAGGACAAAGAAACAATAATTGACTAGCCTAACAGCACTTCAAATTGTCCAGTATCATTAAACAGAACATATTCAATAAAATGGTTTTGAAGATTGAAAGAACAACTGCAGTAATTATATATAAGCATCAGTAAAAGACTCTTAATTCCATCAGTTAGCATGCTTGTACAGTACATCAATTTTCAAATAAGAAGCATGCTGTACAGAAAAAATGGACGACCAAAAGAACAAATTTATACAAGCAAGTGGATATGAACTTGAACAAACAGTGTCCTTGAAATAGCGTTGGGCTTTCTCATGTTTTCCAAGGAACCTTAACGATGTGTTTGGTTGGAGGATTTGAAGAGGGATTTGGAAAGGAAAAGGAAAAAGTTAAGTGAAATGTAAATAAAATATATTTACATTTCACCTAATTTCACGCACTTTTTTCCTTTCTCTTTCCAAATCCCTCAAATCCTCAAATCAAACACAGTATCACTGTTGATGATTGCTTAGGCTATGTTTGCTGGATTTGATGAAGGAAATGGAAAGGAAAAGGGAAAGGGAAATAGAAAGAAAAGGAGAAAGAATTGATAAGATTTGAATTTCAAGCTATGTTTGGTTGAGTAGAGAATTAGAGAAAGAAAAGAGCCTGACCCTGAGCCTCAGTGAACCCAAAAGACAAAAAGTGAAATTGCATGTCCCTCACTTTCTTTTCCCATGTGAAATTATATATATGCATTAGTAAAAGACTCTTAATTCCATCAGTTAGCGGCTTGTACAGTTCATCAATTTTCAAATAAGAAGCATGTCATACAGAAAAATGGATGACCAAAAGAACAACTCTATGCAAGCAAGTGGATATGAACTTGAACAAACAGCGTCCTTGAAATAGCGATAGGCTTTCTCATGTTTTCCAAGGAACCTCAACTGTTGATGATCACTTAAGTTGTGTTTGGTTGGAAGAGTTGATGAAGGAAATGAAAAGGGTCGACTAGAGAGAGGGAAATAAAAGAAAAGGAGAAAGAATTGATAAGATTCGAATTCCAAGCTGTGTTTGGTTGTGTAGAGAATTAGAGAAAGAAAAAAGCAGAGCCTAAAGTCAACACAAAAGACAAAAAGTGAAATTGCATTTCCCTCTCACTTTCTTTTCCCTTATGTTTTCCACTATAACCAAACAAAAAGTAAGATTGCATTTCCTTTTCCTTTTCCTTTTCCTTTTCTCTTATCAAATCATCCAATCAAACACAGCCAACACAGCCTTAAAGGACATACGTAAAAGTTCTACAGGTCAAAAGAACACCAATGAAATCAAAAGGCAAAATAAGAAATCATCATGTATAAGCCACAAAAGGGGAAATGCATACTAATATTTTTGAAGAAACTACAACTTACTAATCAACAACAGAACCAAGTAGTAACAATCTGACAAGGGTAGAGGAAACATTTACTTATAAAACAAAAAGGATTTAAGGGGAAAAAAAAAACCCACCAACAAATTCAACTAGAAATCATATGATTAATTAGGTTTTAAACTATATCTCGAGAACCTAGTGGAATGAGATCCTATATCGCTAAACCTTCCGGTCCCGGACCCCGTCCCAAACCACTTGCAACCATTGGATCATGTGTTTGAGATTGCAGCATCTTGAGATTTTAAATGATCCAAATGTTGTGAGTATTTTGGGACAGAGAGATTTGGGACAAAGGATCCTTGGCGGAATCTAGCAAGGGCTTGATCAAATGATGAATAGAAATTTAAGATCCATAGTAGTTATTATAAATGGGTCAAAGAGACACATACACAGCCGATCATCAGTTATTAAAATAAATAAAAAAATTGATGGAAGATTAATTTCATTAGGAAAGTGAATAAATTATCATAGCATAGAATTGAAAAAATGAATTAAGTGAGAAACAAATAAATAACATCAAATCACAAAGAGACCTTGTTGCTCCGCTAAATTGCTCGGGGCACATACACACCCAAGCGCTTTTGGAGATGTGCAGAGCAAAGCAAGAACAATTTATGAATTCATTCAAAGTACAACTTTGAACTCGCACATATATCTATATATATACCGGCAAATTTGAAACTATCAACAAAATGGGGTTGTTTTTTTTTTTTTTTTTTGACTGACAGGTGGGAAAAGAAAAATGTGAAAAGAAATGTAAGCCAATGATCCAAAGGAGACTAAATTATGTATGCAATATCTTGAAGTTGAAGTAAAAGACGAAAAGATTGAAAACAGACCTCAAAATGCGTACCTTATCTTATCACCAACGCCGACACTAGAGAGAGAGAGAGAGAGAGAGAGAGAGAGAATGGAAGGAATGTGAAGTAACTGACTTTTTTTTATTATTATTATTGGTACAAAGGAGGCTGAGTAGTAGTGGAGGTGGTGAGTCAGAGATGGGTTGGATGATATTGAATTGAAGTGGATCTGTGATCTTCAAGTCCTACTGAACTGTATCTGTGATCTTCAAGTCCTACTGAACTGAGTGGAGAAGAAGAAGAAGAAGAAGAAGAAGAATCGCTGTATGTTGATTTCATTGTCGGTCTGAGAGGTAGACGAAGAAGACAAAGATCTCTCGCTTTGCATTGCACGCTGTCGGGAACGGGTTCGATGTGAGCAGTGAGTAGAGAGGTGAAATTATGTTAATGGTCCACCAATATTGGAATGATGGGAGAGCGTGAAATAAGTCATTCAAAAAAGAATAAATGATAGTATATAAATAAATGATAGTATATAAATGGCCAGTATCTCCCTCAAATTCTCAATAATCCATTCCCAATAATCTTCTCTTGGATCTTGGAAAATTGAGTCTTATTTATAGGGGTGAGCATGGTCCGGATTGGACCGGATTGGAGTGAAACCAGAACCAATCCGTTATTTACGGATCTTGAAAAATTGGAACCAATCCAATCCGTTTAAATCGTGGAACCAATCCGAACCAATCCATTTAAATACGGATTGGATCGGTTTAGGACCACGGATTTATATAATTAAATAACAAAAATATATATATAACACTTTATTTTCATAAAAATATAAATATAGCATCATATTAGTTTCACAATAGCAATATGTCTTTTCATAATAGCGACAAACTGTTCTAGAATTTAAACAACCATAAAGAAACTAGTTCCACCATAAGTATTTAGACCATTACAAATTAACACTAAAAACTAGCAAACAAAAGTAATAAAAGAAGATACTATGCAAATTTAGGTTTGGATTTAAGTTTAGAGAGAGAGAGAGAGAGAGAGAGAGAGAGAGAATGGAAGGAATGTGAAGTAACGGACTTTTTTTTTATTATTATTATTGGTACAGAGGAGGATGAGTAGTAGTGGAGGTGGTGAGTCAGAGATGGGTTGGATGATATTGAATTGAAGTGGATCTGTGATCTTCGAGTCCTACTGAACTGTATCTGTGATCTTCAAGTCCTACTGAACTGAGTGAAGAAGAAGAAGAAGAAGAAGAAGAAGAAGAAGAAGAAGAATCGCTGTATGTTGATTTCATTGTCGGTGTGAGAAGTAGACGAAGAAGACAAAGATCTCTCGCTTTGCATTGCACGCTGTCGGGAACGGGTTCGATGTGAGCAGTGAGTAGAGAGGTAAAATAATGGTAATGGTCCACCAATATTGGAATGATGGGAGGATGAATAGTTAGGTGAGCGTGAAATAAGTCATTCAAAAAAGAATAAATGATAGTATATAAATAAAGGGTTTGGTTATGGTGTACAACTTACACCTTACACTTTATACCTTATATTTACACCTTACACTTACACTTTTTGTAAAAAATTAAACATTACACTTACACCTTTTTTGAGGTTGCACACCATGTGCAACCCACTTACACCTTACACCTTACACTTACACCTTATACTTATACTTACACCTTACACTTACACTTTTTGTGTAAGTGGCACATGGTGTGCACTTGCACACTTAAGAAAACTCCATAAATAAATGATAGTATATAAATGGGCAGTATCTCCCTCAAATTCTCAATAATCCATTCCCAATAATCTTCTCTTGGATCTTGGAAAATTGAGTCTTATTTATAGGTTTTTTTTTGTATCAAGAGAACATTAAGTGGTCAAATACA